AAAAAAAAAAAAAAAAAAAAATACGAACTTGATATTAAAATAGGGGATGTATACCTAGGTAGTACTGAATCATTGATTTAGTGGTCCAAATGCGACTACTGAACAAGGGTCTACCTGAATTATACAAAGTAATAATTCATATTGAGCTTTTTGGTTTACAACAATAGTAACTCAGTAACTTAACACAACATCACGCCTTTTATCCCCGAAGGGGTAGGCAAAGGTGCACATTGTGACACTATAAGTACAATGTAACACCCACTTTTCACCATAATGTTATGAGTGCCATGTAATAAGCCTCTCGCCCGATTTTGTTCAGGTACTCACCGAAGCAACCATGTCCGGACAGCACCTGAGTGAGCCTGAAGGAGATGCGCTGTTCTCTCTTCAGACCTTGCGCGATTCTAGACTCCGTGCTACTACTGAGAACTTTTGAAAAACCCCGTAATACTTTGTTCGACCCGGGAATCGAACCCGAGACCCATTGCCAGCAGTCGCACTTGCGACCTCTCGGCCAACGAGGCAGTCTCTCAGCAGCAACAGCAGAGAGCAGTACCTAATTCAGTAGATAAATAGGGATATGAGGACCGAGAAAGAAAGTTATATTATATGTAGTGAGTTCAGATTATCGAAATCGGAACCGAACATATGGAAACAGGCTCAGCCCCAATTACGTTACTCTTAACATACCTGGCAAAACTGAGTGTAATGTCCTCTACGACCTCTATCTACAAGATTTTTAAAAGTCATCATCATCATCAACAGCTTACAAATGCTCATTGCTGAACAGTCTCTTCTCACACAGAGAAGGTTTGGGCATTAAACACCACACTGGCTCATTGCTGGTTGATTACCTCGCCATGTTTTCCTTTACCGTTTGTCAGTGGTCTCAAAATAATGTTATAAAGTCATATACATCATATAACTCGGAAAAACTCACATTGGTACTTGCCGTTGGTAGGTTTCGAACCCATATCCTCATGGATGAGAAGTGGGCTAAAACCTCCGACCCACCACGACATTTCATTTTAAAGTAGTCATGTTAAAATGTTATGTACGTAAGTACTACGTATATTTGTTGAAGAATTCACCTGTTTTACATACAAAGTAAATGAGTATACGTAGGTACAGAACAGGAGTAACTCTCCAAGCACCATAAAGCTCCTTTAAAGAATTTCATTAGAGATGTAATCCCCTTTTACTAAGGGCGGCTATGGGGTTAATTAGAGAACGCGATATTTCATGCGCCCCATTTTTTTAACCATCGCGCTTTTATTTCCTGTTCTGGAATTGTCCAAGGTGCTATGTTATAAGATAGGTAGACGAACCTATGAAGCCTTTATGTCGATGACGACAATTAGACCTTAATAAACTTAGAAGAAATTTTATTTTTATTTTTATTTAAAAAAAACGTTGCCCCACATTAGGATTATCTCCTGTGTCGTGGGTGCGTTCACAAACATACAAGTTCACATACACAATGACACCCAGACCCGAAACAACAATTTGTGGATCACACAAAGTGTTGTTCCGTGCGGGAATCGAACCCGCGACACGTTGCACGGCAGCCGGTTGCCCAGCCACCGCACCAACCGTGCAGTCAATTTTTGCAAGCAAGTTTTTTGCAAGAAATTTGTGATTTGTCTCCTAGTTTTGTTTTCAGAAAGTATCCAGAAGGTATCTAAGCAAGTAAATATGCACTTATTTTACAACCTAAAGATTTTTTATGGAATAAGCCGGTAATCAAACAGGTGGATCACCTGATGATAAGCAATCGGCGCCGCCCATGGACACCCGAAACACCAGAGGTGTTACAAATGCATTAGCGGCCTTTTTGGGATTAGGCATTTGAGGATTGTTAAGGATTAAGAGTAATGGGGCCTCAATTCATTCATAAGTTTTTATGCAAGGCAATGTGGGTATTGCCTTGCATAAAAATTAATACATAAAAACAATAAAGATAAGTAAATACAGGTTTTTCGAAAACTGTAAATACCCGTTTCATTTATAATCATAACTAAGTGTAAGAATAAATAACAATTAAGCACTCATCAAAATTTGTAGGAATATTCATTCACCTTTGATCACTGTCGTTAATTTTATAAAATTCTAATAAGATGTCAGTGCTGTCATCTATTGGAAAGTAAAGATATTCAGTCTGTAGCAGTTGCTTATTGTTGAGTGGAGTCAGTCAGTCATTTTTTGTACTATTTTTTTGGCTTAATCGTTTTGATTAATATTTGTAGTTTATTGATTGTAAATCAGGCATTGCAGATAAATCCTGATCTATGCTATTAAACGAACGAAACGCATTTAATTTAGACAGTGTCAAAAGCAAAATAGCAAACAGAACTGTCAACTGTCACTGCCAGCTGTAACCTGCAAGAGTTGTGTTTGTTTAGGTTATGTTCCTGTTTATTGTTGCTAAAAGTTAAAAATAAATATAAATAAACTATTCTTAAGTGTTATTAATGAGTAATAAATAAACTATACATAAATGGAAGACTCTGAAAGTGATAAAAGGCCACAATTCGGTAACCGATATCTGGAAAATGCTGACGAAGTGTTCAAACATAACGCGTGGTACCGTATTTACTTGTTTGGTTAGATTTTGTAAAAACTCTCGATGTGATAAGAGTATAAATGTAACAGAATTGGAGAAAACTAGATATAGGAAAAAGCCTGCTGGTGGTGGCCGATATTTGAATGATTCGAAGCACATTTATCTTTTTAATGCCTGGTACTCATTAACTCATCACAAGCACTACTTACATTCAGCCTAGTTCTAACTATAATTTGATTGTAAAACCTCTTTGGTGACAGGGACAATGTGGACTGGGATGATGAGCAAGAAAAGGTTGCAAAAGAAAAAGTTGAGCAGAATTCCCAGATAACATTTTCTGAAGACCACTTGAAGTCATTAGAAGATGATGCTGATAAACATTGGGATGCCTTTTATGATATACATCAAAATAGGTATGTGGCACTTTTAAAAAGAACTGCTTTATCAATCGTTTGATTTTGTTGAATTCAAGACTTATTTGAATTTCTATTCTAAACTAAGATTTATTCACTTGATCAGATCGGATCAGATCACCTTAATTAATTGGTGCCTTTGTCAACAATTATTACAATAGGTATTTAATTTAAACTATCAAACACCGCGAGGACACCGGTGACCACAACCTATTATTCTTCAATTGTGTCTATAATGATGGCACTCAAAGAGTTAAATTTAAAACACATAATCGAAACTAATATTCCCATTACAATTTTACAGATTCTTCAAGGACCGCCATTGGCTGTTCACTGAGTTCCCTGAACTGGCTCCAGATAACACATCAGCTCCAGTAAGAGTATATCCTGATGGTGAAAATAATACCACACAAATAACGGATCAGACAAAAAGTGACACAAAGAGGTTTATATTCGAAATAGGTTGTGGAGTTGGCAACACCATATTTCCTATACTACAGTACAGTCGTGACCCAAACCTCTTTATTTATGGTTGTGATTTTTCCTCAAAAGCCATAGATATTATGCAACAAAGTGAGTTGTATGAAACAAGTAGGTGCAACGTGTTTGTTCTGGATGCAACTCTCGATAAATGGGATGTGCCTTTTGAAGAAAATTCTATTGATATCATTGTTTTGATATTTGTTTTGTCTGCTATTGATCCTGCAAAGTAAGTGTACATTATTTAATATCGAAATTGTGGATATATACTTGATAACTATGAAAATGATTATATTAACAGTTACTAAAAGACTGCCTCGTTGGCCGAGTGGTCGCAAGTGCGACTGCCGGGCAAGGGGTTTCGGGTTCAATTCCCGGATCGGGCAAAGTATTACTAGGTTTCAAAAAATCTCAGTAGTAGCACGGACTCTGGAATTGTGCCCGGTATATGGCAATAGGCTCACCCCCTATTACATAGGACCCATCACATAAATAGTGAAAAGTGGATGTTACATTGTACAGTGGCATAGTGTGCACCTCTGCCTACCCCTTCGGGGATAAAAAGTGTGATGTTATGTTATGTTTGTTATTAAAATATCTTCACGTTCATTTTCAGAATGAGTACCGTTATCAACAATATGTACAAATACTTAAAGCCTGGAGGCTTGGTAGTATTCCGTGATTACGGTCGTTATGACTTGGCACAGCTCCGTTTCAAGAAGGGCAGATGTATATCTGATAACTTTTATGCTCGTGGTGACAACACTAGAGTGTACTTTTTCACTCAAGAAGAAATAACAAAATTATTCCAAGATGCTGGATTTAAAGAAGAACAAAATCTGATAGACAGGAGACTTCAAGTAAACAGAGGAAAAATGCTAAAAATGTACAGAGTATGGATACAAGGGAAATATAGAAAGCCTTTATAACACTTACAATATTTATTTGTTATATAAATACAAGAGTATATTATAACAAAATAATTAAAACTTCAATAATAGAATACTTTACAAAATGTTACTGAAATAACGATTATATTTCAACACCAGTGCTTTTGCACATCAATTAGAATAATAATAGTACAAACTGCAAGCAATATAACTATACTATTAATCTTAAACCCCACAGTGTAAATGAATATTTTTAATATATCTTATTCCTACTTCTATAAATAAGAAATCTCAAAAATACAATTCATGAAAAGAAGACAATGATAAGCTCGGAGAAATGTAACAGCTTGACTAGACGCTTTAATTATTAAACCTCAAAATGAATACCTTTTTTTAATCAAACTGTCTTTACATTATATTTCCATTAACTTTGGAACGGGACAAAAAGAAATATTTAATAGATTGATAATTCGGATATTACTGCATTAACTATAATATATAAAAGTGAAATAAATTACTTAACACTCTTAAATCTAAAGTTATAAGGCTCAAGAAACATGTTACTGATTTTTGTCACAACTTTTATCGGTGGTCCTTCCCATGTTACTTCAAACTCATCAAACAGCTTTTTCATTAGAGTTTCAATCTCTAATTCAGCAATTCTACGTCCAATGCAACTTCGGATACCGAAACCGAATGGTAAAGTCACAATAGCAGGTGCATTCCCATAGTAAATAGGATCAGATTTATCTGCCAACCACCTCTCGGGGAGAAACTCTTTGGGCCTCGGATAATATTTTTCCAAACCTGACAAGTATTCATTTGGGGCTATTACATCCACCTGAAAAATAAGATATGTCATTTAGTCTATCTCCATAATTTACCTCGTCATCATACTGATTCCATCTGCTGAACCTAGGCAACTCCAATAGTGAATATAGCCCTGCTGAGCTTCATTTTTCTTCAGATCCAACCAATGCTAGCCACTTTGCAGTTACACTCTTACAAATCCTAGCTACGATAGAATAGAGGATGTTTTCATAATATAACTTTTATTTTTATTAAATTACGGTTTATAACTAAACTAGCTACTTCCGCTCGGTTTCACACGCTTTGCTCAGCTCCTATTAGTCGTAGCGTGATGTTTTATAGCCTATAGCCATCCTCGATAAATGCGCTATCCAACACAAAAATAATTATTCAAATCAGACTTGTAGTTACAGAGATTAGCGCGATTAGCGAGATTACAAACAAACATACAAAAAAACAAACTCTTCCGCTTTATATAGTAAGTATAAGATTCTTAACTTACCCCAGCAGGAATATGATAACCAGCCACAAAGTGATCTCTATCTGTCCTCCTCAAATTAGCCGGGATGACATGCCGCATTCTAAGGGTTTCCTTCAAACAAGCTCGAAGATATCGTTTATGTGGGTCAGGTGAACGAATTTCTTCTCGAAGTCTCTGTTGTTTTTCCGGATTTGTCGCTAGATTGTAAATTACACTGATTGCTGTAAAAGCAACCTGGAAACAAAGGTTCTAATTAGACCTAGATTATTTACGGTTGAATTGAGATCGCTGTCAGGAGTCCTAGGAACATTCTTAGGTGGTGCGACAATTAAAATTGGCGCCCCTTTAGGTAAAATAAATAATCAAGCAGTTGCTATACTTTCCATCCGAAAAAACAGAAGAATCATATAGACTGCCTCGTTGGCCGAGTAGTTGCAATTGTGACTGTCGGGCAAGGGGTCTCGGGTTCGATTCCCGCGTCGGACAAAGTATTACTGGGTTTTAAAAAAAATCTCAGTAGTAGCACGGAGTCTGAAATTATGCCCGGTATATGGCAATAGGCTTACCCCCTATTGTATGGGACTCATAACATAAATAGTGAAAAGTGGGTGTTACATTGTACAGTGGTATTAAGTACCAAAATGTGCACCTCCGCCTACCCCTGCGGGGATAAAAGGCGTGATGTGCACTCTTATCGACATGTATGTATCCTATAAAAATCGAAAGGCTTCCAAGTTGAGAACGGAATGCTGAGCATCAAAACTATCATATACCAGAATTAAACAGAAATTGGCGATCCCATTATAGCAAATCACCATTCTGGGTTATAAGGTAAGACCCTTATTACACAACACCAAAGGAATATTTTTCTTGATCAACTCACCGTATCAATACCAGCAAACAGCATTTCATTAGCCATCAAGATGGCAACCTTCTCGTCAATAGCCAATAGTCTTTCGACTATACTCTTCTCCTCTTCAGGAATGTCATGTCCTCTTGCGTTAATTCGCTTTCTTGCCTCTTCAATGTAATTTGTACTTATTCTGGAAGTAAATGAAACAACTTTGATTACTTAGAAATTAGCCAAAAGTAATAAAGGGGACTATAAAAAGTATGGGTCTCGAGTTCGATTCCCGGGTCAAGCAGTGTCACTGGGTTTTAAAAAAAAACTCAGTTGTAGCACGGAGTCTGGAAATGTTCCCGGTATATGGCAATAGGCTCACCTCATATTACATGGGACTCAGAATATAAATAGTGGAACGTGGGTGTTACATTGTACGGTGGCATTAAGTGCCGTAATGTGTACCTCTGCCTACCCCTTCGGGGATAAAACGCGTGATGTTATGTTATGTTATAAAAACAAATTTACTTACTCCCATTGCTTGTCATATGTGCTGATAATCTTTTTATAAGCAGGTGTAGCGAAGTATTTCCACACACTGGGAAAAAATTCTAATTGAAAAGCGTATTCGATTATATCCTTACTACATTGCAGCAGTGTAAATCCTGGATGGTCCTTTGTGACTTCATCTCCAAGGCACCCCAATCTAGACCCCAAAGCCACATAGGCTACTGATTCTAACGACCATTTCGTAATTTCAAGGTCTAAGTTCTTCGCCAGATATTGGGTGTCATCTTTGTATCGCCTTATCCTGTGGAATTTGTACTTAGTCAATATAAATAAGTAAAGAAATAAGATATAGATACATACTTGAACTCTTTTTACCTCTGTACTAAATCTTGAGCGATCTCACCAAGCGGTGGTGCATAAACTTTCACCAATTTCAATTTTAACAATGGTGGATTGACTTTTGTACGAAAATCGCGCCACTTCTCCCCTTGTCTGCAAAACTTAATCATTAATAAAAAACCATATTCTTTAAAAAAAATCAACAAATTATAATTTATATTAGGAAATTACGCGGTTGTTAGTCCGTATACTCCATCCAGAGATCCTTTTTTGATCACTTCTCTGTAATACTCAAGAGTTTGAAACCCTGGTCGTAATGGATTTGCTTCCTGGCTCCTGTAGACCTGGGAAATCAGTATTTTTTTAGTTACGAAGACCTAGTAAAAAAAGATAGTTCTTAATCATCCTATAAAGTGCCCACCTGGTCAATGTGTTCTGGTTCATACAAAATAACAAAGTCAGCTCTAGATAACACCCCTTGCAGTTTTACTATAGGCCCATACTTTTCATGCAAGGTAGACATCAAGTCAAATATATTTACTCCTCGTCCAAATTGTCCTGAAAATAAAAAAAAACTTAAAATATTTGAGTCGTTAATTACTTATTTGTCTATGAGATTTAAAAAATAACTAGGTAGGTACCTACTAAAACTTTTATACCTTCTAAATATTTTCCCCCAGATATAAGGGTGTTGCAATAAGAGATATGAGGTAGGTAAGTAATATATTTTCAATTTAAAAATATTTTTTATAATCCAACCAGCAGTAAAACAATCAAATAAGGTATCTATACATAATCATGCTCGTTATATTTTTTAACTCGTCGAGTACCGTCATTATAGACACAAATTATAGAACAATAGGTTGGGGTCACCGGTGACCGCTTGGTGTTTGGCAGCTTAAAGTAACAAATACTCACCAATCACAGGTAAGAAATGATGTATAGGACCAAGAATCGGCAACGAGGACAGTCCCGGTATGGACGCGTATGGTTTAATTTGTGCAGACGGTGCCGAAGAATAACTTCGTCGAACATTTCTAAAATTAAATTTATTATTTAAAATTAATTTAAACATCATCACAAGTGTGATGTCTTACAGTAATTTTGGTTTCGATTCATAAGACGACCAAGTATTTTTTCAGAAATAATATTTCTGTAATAATCTTAAATAATTATGTGTATTAAATAAATGAAATAGAACTGTAATAATGACTTTGCATAGAGTGCAGCTTATTCATACGTGATTAGATTGCAATGAAAACACTTCAAACGTGATACTCGAATCAAAATTATGAATAAACGATGCTATTTTTATACTTACTGAAAGGACGAATGAAATCTGATGAAAAACAAAGTATAACACTCACTCAATGCTCTATTTCTCATTATCATTGTTTAATACTATAATTTGCGTGTAAATTCTCAGAATAACAAACTGACCCGCCCGATGTAAATAGAGGAGCTGTGTACTATAGAATTCGAATTGACCATGAAAATGATAAGTTTGACCTTGATTCGTTAGATAAGTTTGTCTAATATGAACGAAACTATAAAATTGAAGCATAGGTAGGTATTGTTTGTTATACCTTTTGTTAAGTTACTTTCAATTTTTATTCACAATAAAAAAATGATTCTTTTTATATCAGTGCATTACTAATTCACTATTAAAATCACTTAAGGTTACTTCCTTTACCTTTTTTATATTTTTTTTTCAACTACACATTGCATATTTTTGTATCTAACAATAAAAGAGGGTACTTTTGCCATCATTTTCATGTCTTTATAGGTTTTCATAGAACGAAACAGTTTTTAATGGTTACTTAAAATGAACGCAGTAAAAAAATATTTGAGCTGTCAACACTATGTGCATAGTGTTGGACAAGGATCAATCGTGGTGAATAATATATCGGTATTTGGCTGCACTGTAGTTTATCAATTATATTTTCCGCAAAAAGTGAATGAAGAAGAAAAATTATTTAATTGTTTTATTTATCTTCATAACTTATATTACGCAAGTAAGTATGAACGGTAAATTCCTAGTTAAAAAACTAACTATCACTAAGATTTTATGTAGTTTCTTTAGAATTATGTCTAACACTGAGTAAATTAATTTAAAACTTACAGTTCAATAAAAAGAAAGATTGACAATTTCTCGAAAAGTATAAAATTGACTGCACTCGACAATCGATCTCTTTAGCAACGGTACAACATTACTGTTTGACAGTTCAAACCTTCAAACAAAATGTTTAGGTGATGGTGAGGTTAATGGTCGATACAAAATAGTTTAGATAAATATTTGGGTAGGGATTTCCATCCAAATATGAATAGGTCAACAATAAATCATCAAAACGCATTCTTAAAATAGTGCTATGCTCATTCTTCTTACGATTATGTTTAACTGATGCAAAGTCTATTGTAATGAAGTTTCTTTGTCATGAGAATAGTTTCGTTATAACACTATCGATCGATTACGAAAGAGCTTTTAAGTTTAACTGTGTTAAAAATATTTGTGGCTTATAATCATTTAAGGGAATCATTTATTAAATAAGTATAGATGTGTTGAGTGGACTGTATATAAAATTAATGAGTGTGCGTGAATGTGAAGTTGCTAACGTGTTAATAAAATATGTGTTTACGTTCGCTTTTTGTTGTATTCTTGCGTTCAATTTACTTAAAAGAGTCATAAAGCTAGCTAGTGCCGTCGCGCGTAATATGAGATACGTAGTGTGAGCCTGAGGCATATCGCAATTTGTTCCTGATATCACGTCCATGTATTGTTGCTCCTTCCTGTAAGTATAATCATAATTTTCGATAATAACACACTGTATGTTATTCAGCTATATATTACATATGTAATAAAAGTATTAATCACAGTAATAACGAATAATTTATGATGTAACAGTCTACAATTCTACATTGTGCTGTTTATGTTTTGTTTTCGAAACTGCACTTTGCAACAGTCACGATTTTGCACTACACTATAATAACATAACTGAAAGGAATTTGGTAAGGTCAATGAACTCTCTGTGATTGTGTGGGTGTGTGTTTTATTTTTACTGGCTTATTTAAGAGATATCACCTTATCTTTATCTTGGAGGTGAGTTTCATCATTTGTAAATATAATATAACCCAGTTTGGTACAATGTAGCTAGCACATGATTTGTTTACATTTCAACCCTGATAATCTTGATTTAAAGTTCATTTCTGAACAAATTCTATTCTAATGTTCTGTAATGATTCTAAATGTAATTTATTCATGGTATTAATAAATGCAAATTAGTTCCTAATTTATTATAAATCAGCTGATTATTACATTGAGTTTTTAAATGAAGCTAGGTTCATTATTTATCTTTGTCACATAAGTAAAACATTTAACCAAATATATTAGTTTTTTCATGGGTTAATGTAATGGATACACACAATTTTCTCTATTTATCAGTGCAGTGTATACTCCTACAATACCCTTTTTTGCAAAGATGTAAAATCACCAAAGAGTCCTCCAAGGTACTGACAAAGACGACTTATGACATTTATTTTACATGTACATGATCAATAGTTATATCAATAGGTATTTAAATTAAATTAAATTTTCAAAATAGCCACCTGGATATACACAATTCAAAGCTCTCACTTAAAATCCTAATACAATTCAATAAAAACATTTTTTGGTTTTTATATATTTTATCAATAAAATATATAATATTGCAGACTTCACTTAAATTAATGTGAATAGATTTTCTTTCTTTTTCATTTGATTCATGTTTTATACTAAAATTCATTTATAGGTAGGTACAGTTTTAATCAGCATTATGTTCTCAATTACAATGATGAATGTCAAAACGATTATATAATTAGTTCAATTGGAGACAATTACATGTAACCAGAGCAATCTGCAGCGATTGGTGAATCATGAATATCAATGTGTGCACTCTCACATTGGCTGGCTGATAACTAACCCAGTTACTAATATCTAATTCACTGTAAGAACAATTTTGAATGTGTAGTTATAAAATTTCATATTGGAAGTAACTAAAATATCTAGTTTTGGGATTCAATCAAAGTTCAATATTCATCAATACTTTAATTGCCAAGTTTAACCCGTTGAAAATTGTTGAAAATCATCCCCTAAATTTGTTTATACAAAAGTAGTCTCTAAACATTAGAAATACGGTCTATTATGTAGTTAGTGGAAAGCGGTCACCGGTGACTGCTTGGGGATATACGAGTTAAATTTAAAAAAGTTAAAAAAAGGTTTTATTTGCTTTAAAGTATTTGTTTAAAAACATTAAAAAAGAAACGACTCAGATTTAACTTCTCAATCTCCGATTATGAAAAATCCACAACATTTTGTTCATACAAATGTAGTGCCTATACATAAGTGGTACATCTCTATAGTAAGTAGAGAGTGGTCACCGGTGGCAGCTTGGGGGCTGGGCAAAGTATTTCTAAGTTAAGTTTATGATGTATAGGAGATTTTTTTTTTTTTTATGGCATAAGCCGGTAAACGAGCAGACGGATCACCTGATGGTAAGCAATCGGCGTCGCCCATTGACACCTGGAACACCAGAGGCGTTACAAGTGCGTTACCGGCCTTTTGGAGATTAGGAGTTTGAGGATCGTTGGGGATTCAGGAATTGGGGAGATTGGGGAAGGGAAGGATAATTGGGCCTCCGGTAACCTCACTCACACGACGAAACACAACGCAAGCGTTGCTTCACGTCGGTTTTCTGTGAGGCCGTGGTATCACTCCGGTCGAGCCGGCCCATTCGTGCCGAAGCATGGCTCTCCCACACTTAAAGATATTAAACATTAACAACATTGCTTTTCATTTTTATTTGGGAACTAGAATATTAGGTAGTTTATTGCTACTATTTCTGAAATTTGCAAGAACACTAGCCTTTTATTTTGTTATCTTTATCTATAGATCTATAATATAAAAACCCGTATCCCGTTGTCACGCCAGAACTTGAGAATGGCTGGACCGATTTGGCTGATTTTTTTTTTTGTTGAGTTTGTTATTGTCAGGAGACAGTTCTTATGATAGAAAAAATCCTGAAAATCTTATAGGAACGGGAGAAAACGGGATTGCGCGTACTAAGTCGCGGGCAGAAACTAGTACTTGTTAAGAACCTACCTTACTAACTCTAATCTCTGAATTTTTAAAAATGCAACAACATGGTAGAAATACTAAGTTTCCTTGTTGTAAATGCCGTAAGATAACAACGAAACAAGGCTTCTGAATTGTACATTTAAAATTTACTTACAAAATGGTCCTCTTGTTTGTATAAAGGTCAGATAATTTGCACAAATAGCTACACTTCTTCCTTATTGCATTGTTATTCTATTTAATTTTCCTTGTGAGCTTATGTACCTACAATATTTCCTTAGTATTATTGGTTTAGCAGTTAAGCTTGCTTGTGCGTCTAATATAAGATGCTGAAAGCTCCAACATGATTAGTTAAATGGTGTACCAAGTTTAATTATATTGTTAGATAATTAGACCAAGTTCGAAATATAAAAAAGATATATTCTGATATATGTTTTGAATGTTTTCTCCCATTCTTAAATTTAATAAATAAGTGCAAAGTGAATTCAGTTCGTTATTAAGTTATGTGTGTTTTTTTACTATTGTGTTACAGCCAGATATTGCTATTTATTTGACTTGCTTTTACTGTATCCTGAAGTTAAAGATCTTTTTAGTTTCAACTATAGATCAATAACTCTATTTAGTTATGTTTATATTACTTAGGTACCTGTTTGATTAAAAGAAATCCAAATATCATGATATTTACCCATATTAGGGTATAATAATTCTTTTATAAACTATCTTAAAACCTTTAATCCCTTCTTTTTTGAATTATTCGGGTAATTATTACACTAAAACCTTCTCCTAAGTGTCCCAAAAACTTTTCTAAAAACCGCCTCAAAATTGGTTAAGCCAATCGCGAGATAATCGCGCACAGACATACGTACATACATACAGGTTAATCTTAGAACCTCCTGTTTTCGAAGTCGGTTAAAAAGCTCTAACAAGATGTTTTAAAAAAATAGTTAAATTATCTTTATCATTTTCAACCACCATTTTCATTTACCTACTAACTGACCCGGCGAACTTCATACCGCATTATTTCCTACCCAAGACTTTCACGAACAATTCAAGACCAAAATTAGCCAAATCGGTTCAGCCGTTCTTGAGTTTTAGCGAGACTAACGAACGAACTAATTCATTTTTATTTATTTAAATAGATAGATATATAGATAATAGTTTAACACTTTACACTGCTGTATAAAAAAGTCAAATAGTTACAAATTGGTGTTATGCTAAAGTTGTTTCTTCTGTACCAGTTCACGGCTGGGCGTCGGGATGGCGAGCATGAGCTCCACGCTCGTCGAAACCGTCTCCATCAACTACGAGGACTTTAACGAGAGCTTCCTCACATGCGGCACCTGTTTATGTTAGTACACAGCTCACTTTTAAACAGAGGAAGAGATATTTTAGCTTAAATTTAGGTTTCTTTATTGGTTTAACTCGTCGAGTACCGGTTTTGTAGACACAATTATAGAACAATAGGTTGCGGTCACCGGTGACCGCTTGGTGTTTGACAGTTTAATACTCAACAGCTATAAGTAAAATCCATGGCCTCCTGTCTATAGGGGGTTTCAATTTCCTAAAGACTGATAAGAAATGTATTAATTTACATTCGTTTTGTTCATTTAAAGTACTAACTACAACGCCTATTTAGTCTAGGCCAAGGTTCATGGCTATAGATGGGTATAATGAGTAAGCAATGTATGTTATTCTGGTGTAACAATACATTTCTGCAACTAGTTATTTGGAAAGCCTAATTTAAGATATGATATCTCGTCCGTCTTGTATATATTTTCTTGCTGAAAGAGTTTGTATGTTGAGTTTCTAAGTAACTTTAAAGTTGCAAACATATACACATGGAGAAATGCCTTATCTTATCGTAGGTAACTTCTTCAATATTTCATTGAAGCACTCAACATGTAAACCTACTTATTGAATTGTACCTATTTACTATTTCTATAGTATCTGCTAACACTTGGCTTGTTTACAGTAGTAGCAGTGTGTTAAATGTTTTCATTATGAGTACCTTGTTAGTCACTGCTTTATTTCTGTTAATGACTAAATAATCTATATGGTAGTTACTAGTTATTTGTTTATACACATGTGGCCATGGTTGTTCTGTTCAAACAGAACTTGACGAATTACTTTTAACAACCAATTGAGTTACTTAGTCATTAGCTTGCCAAATATTACGTCATAACCCTTTATATAGTTTAATTTTTTAGACTGTCTTTGTAACGCTATTTATGGTACTTTCAGGCACTTATGACGGAGGCGAGCACACACCGAAGCTCCTACCGTGCTCACACACAGTTTGCCTCCACTGCCTCACACGAATAGCTGCTTCACAGACCAGAGACGCAGGCAGTTTCCGATGTCCCATATGTCGCGAGCTGATTACAATACCACGGGGCGGGGTGGCCGCACTTCCGCCCTCGTTCCTCGTCAACCAGCTCCTCGACTTGATGGCCCGCCAACGTCGGGAAGTAATACCACAGTGTAGTTCGCATCCAGGCAGAGAGTTGCTTTTCTGCGAGACCTGTGATTGCGTGTTCTGTCGACACTGCGCGGACGGGCCACACAGCGACACCCCCTGTGACCATACAGTTGTGCCATTCTCCATAGCGTTGAAAAGAATGTCTGAAATACTGCTCTATAGGGCGAACGAATGTCTCAGTAAACTCGGTTCCGCCAGAGATGCAGTGGCCAGTGAACTGCGACGGCTCGAGGCGGCCGCGACTGCAGCGGACGAGGCAATAGACCGACACTTCGCGGAACTGAAGGCTGCTATCGACAAACGTCACAGTGAACTCAAATCAGCCGCCGCTGCTGCAGCGACACATAAACGAAAGTTGCTTGAAGAACAACTCAAATTAATTGATGCAGAAAAAGCTAAGGTAAAGTACTAACAACGAATTAAGTTGTAGCAGGTGCTGATTCTGATGTTGATGTTAAGTGATGTGACTAATGAACTTGTACGGAAATCCTTTTTCTAATTTCCAAGAGCTAACAAACAACTGTAGTTTTTAATAATTTCATAACCTAAACCACCAAAATCCTGCTCTCTCCTATCTTATTCCAACTTAAAGACATAAAGTATTCTAAACACAAAATTTTCCTTAGGTGGAAGCAGAATGTTCAGGTCTCCAGCAGCAGGTAGAAGTGCGTGAAGTCAGCAGTCGTGCAGCGGCACTGGGTGCTAGGTTAGGAGACGCGGCGGCACTCGCTGAACCACGGGAGAACGCATTCCTCGCCGTAGACTTCGCACACAATGACGCTCAGCAAAGATTCTCTGAAGCTCTGGCAGAGTTAGGCAGGGTCCGCACCAGTACCACCTTCCCAGGACTCTGTACACTACAATTAGGTAAGTTTATCTAATATTTGAGACTAGTTGCACCCACGACTTGTCTGTGTAGACTTATCATAAGAACAATATGTTTCCCCGTGATAAAGACGAACATAAAAGTCAAAGGATGAAATACTCTTCCTTCAGTCGGGTAATAAACAGCGTAGATATGTGTTACTCTAGCCTATAAGAAGTCAGGAATATTATTATTTCATTTTATTTCATTATCATGGTGGTCTATATACAATTTCAGACTATAATATATACCTGTCTCAATTTAAATTTTCTACCAAAATCGTTCAGCTATTTTAAAATTATTGAATATAGAACGTGGATGGAATGACATGTAGAACAAAATGAACATTTCAAGTATGAGTACTGAGTAGTATATGTAACAGTATGTACCTTTTAATTGAATTAAACCGAAATATAGTTAAATGATTCGACTGTTTACGTGAGGTTTAATAAACAAAATCCACGCGTGTCGCCGCAACATTATGTCTGGACACGCGATGTATTCAGATTCGGCAAACGAATATACATATTTATTTTATATAGGTACGTACATGCCTACTCCATTTTGTTAATGGGATTTTCCTTGTACGTTTATTAATTTGTCTGGATCTTTGAGAACAGCATTATGTACATATTATACTTCTAACTTAGGAGTTTGTTTGTTTGAACTACCAAATTTTAAAACCAGATGCCCAGATTTATAAAAATAATGTAGGTATATCGTGAATCCTTACCTCTTGTCGTTCTAAGTCATTATCTGGCTTTTGTAATATGCTCAGTACAAAGTACAAAACATATCATACTTTACCTTCTTGTATCGTATGTGTTATCAAATAGATAAGTAAATAACTTAATGACTTCTAAGATTCTCATCATCCCTCATTTTCTTCATCATTTAAATCAGTTTAACCTTCTAAGTCGGTCATTGCTGTCTAACACAGTTTCCTGTGTGTTAGAAACTTCTAGATAAACAACCTCGTAGACTAATAAACTGATTAAGAGCCTATTTGTCAACCATCAGTTAATGCTTAACTGTAAAATAAAACTGACTTTGACAGTGTTTAGTATGGAAGAATTGTCAAATATTCGAAGATTTTCCTCAGTTAAAATTTATCTGGCGTTGGAATAATTAACCCTAAAAATAATGAAACACATATTACTTACAGAATCAGCGTGTGTATGTGGTTTAGAGGTGGTAGTGGTACTACGTACAGTGGACTACCACGGCGAGGCGCGCTGTACTGGTGGAGACCCTGTCAGCGCTGCCGCGACCATCGACGACGCACCCCTACCCTGCACTGTTACCGATCTCGATACTGGATTGTATAGGTATGTGAAATGATAAAATATCATGTCTTTTGTAAGACTTACAGTTCGCAAGAGAGATGTGTTACTCAGTTTTGGCTTTGACCTTGACTTTGACATTAACTTTTTACAATAGAGGCAAGCTTTTTATAATAGACTGAGCACAAACCTAGTTATCTCACTTCTGGCTTCTGCCCACGACTTCTTACGCGCAATCCCGTTTTCTCCCGTTCCCGTAGGCATTTCAGGATTTTTTCAGTCTTAAAAACCTTCTCCTAATAATAACAAATACAACAAAAAAGAATTAGTGAAATCGGGCCAGCCATTCACGCATGATGCCGTGACTAAGGGAAAAAGGGATTCATTTTTATATTTTTTTTTATTTTGTCGAGGCTTCGACGTGTTTCAAAAAAATATTCCTTTTACAACCAAATGCTCTCATTTTGACACATAACCGCCGAAGCGGTAGGCAGAGATGCACACTACGACACTTTATGCCACTGTAATGTAATGTAACACCCACTTTTCACAATTTATGTTATAAGTCCCATGTGAGCCTATTGCCTTATACCGGGCAGAATTCTAAACTCCGTGCTACTACTGCAATTTTTTCAAAAACCCCTGTAAACAAATTGTGCTCTCATTTTAAAGGTAACTAAATTGCCTTTTATACGGCGTAATTTACTAATTAATAAAATACACATAACATCACGCCTTTTATCCCCGAAGGGGTAGGCAGAGGTGCATATTATGCCACTGTACAATGTAACATCCACTTTTCACTATTTGTGTTATGAGTCCCATGTAATAAGGGGTGAGACTATTGCCATATACTGGGCACAATTCCAGACTCGTGCTACTACTGAGATTTTTTTTTAAAACCCAGTAATACTTTGCCTGCCCCGGGAATCGAACCCGAGACCCCTTGCCCGGCAGTCGCTCTTGCGATCACTCGGACCAACGAGGCATACCTGCCTAGATATGCCTCGTTGTCTGTATCAAGATATTTATCAAGACATGAAAAAGAATAAACGCTAGGGGCTCCTTTTCTTTGCTCCCAAGTGTGTATGTAGGAAGTTTGTAATACTCAAACTCTAAATAAACGATACAAGAGAATAACATGAAGTGCAAATTCTTATAGTACACTAACCGAACTTATTAATCAACTACGTAATAGCCTTTATTCCCAAAACCTGTTCCCACATCAAACTATTCCGTAAAACCATGGATTCGTGCATAACAAATCGAGTGACCTTGGAAAAAATACTCTATACTAAAGCATTTAAAATCTTTTTTCACATATTTATGTTCGTGAGAGATTTGTTTACGACGGGTTATCGTTTCGCTGACAGGCGAATTTCAGGTTTGCCAGTCTATTTTTGTATTCGCTCTGTTATTATTCATGTACTGAATATACTGCGAGGTCGACTCGAGACGACCTCTTTCCAGTTCTATTATGTGAATAAAATCATGAAATATATTCATGAAGTCGGTTTGGAGTTTATTAATGTTTCGTTAGATCATTTTCTGACTCTTGTTTACGATGCTTTTTATATTATTTTGTCTAATTCTAAGGGAATACCGATGTTACTCTAAAAATAACTTATTCTAAAAGTACCTACACCCATATTGTTACTGATCTATCCCCAAGCGGTCACCGGTGACCGCTCTCCACTAACTCCATTATAGATCTTATTTCCGATGTTTAGAGACTACTTTTATAAAAACCAATTTTGGGGATTTATAGCAAGTTATTTAATAGGTCACATGACACCCTTTTAAATCCCTTATCGTTAAATAGGGAGCGTCTCTATTGCCAGTCACCAAGCTTAGTCCTAGACTATGTGCTGAAAAGGATATCAAGTTTGCTTATTTGTCTCTGAATCTGCAGAACCGATTAAAATTTCTTACTCCGTTAGCAACATTGCTTTTTAACCCAATATTCCTACAGGACCAAAACGAAGAAATCAACATTACATTAACTATAATTCTCTAAATCTCCAGAATCACAATGCGTCCCTGGACGGCCGGTGCACTATGTGTACGCGTGCTAGTATTTGCGCGCGGAGTACGAGACTCCCCGCTCCGTGCACAAGTGTCCCCCACCGCGGCCCCCCTACTTGTATGGGGGTCCAGGGGAACTGGGAAGGAACAGCTCAGCCAACCTGTCGCTTTAGCTAGGTAAGTCTAAAGAATAGTACCTATACGTATTAAACTGGCATGTCAAATTCATTTGTTAGTACATAGCTGTGCGACGATATTTCTCGACTAGTTTCAAACTACGCCAGGGGCCAGTCACCCTTAATCATGCTTGTAATGAATGGCGATGCTAATGTTATTAAAATTCCGATAGAAAATATGGGCGTCCTATACATAAGAGATGTTTGGTAATTCTCCACGCTTGAGAGGTGAGTTGGAGACCACAGATTAAAAGGTTTATTAAACAGTACTGTGCACCGATCTCTGTCAGTTGGCAGTGCTGTGTAGTTCCTAGTTCCTTAATTGGCTCCAATATCCACCCAAACCCTGAATCCCCGACAATCCTCAAATTCCTAATCCCTAAAAGGTCGGCAACGTACTTGTAACGCCTCTGGTGTTCCAAGAGTACATGAGCGACGCCGATTGCTTCCATCAGGTTCCATTACCACCATCAGGTGAAGCGTCTGCTCGTTTACCGGCTCATTCCAAAAAAAAAATCCATAGGCAGAATAAGGGTAGTGATTAATGTCTCCTTTATTGACTAATTGCTGCTAATTTGACTATTGTTGTATTTGTATCGGCAGATGTCCAAAACGGCGTGAGATATACGTGCTGGACGCGGGTAACTCTAGGGTCAAGGTGCTGGACGACGAGACGTTCGCTTTCAAAACGCATATTGTTAATGAAGGTATGAATATAAACAGTATTAATTTATTTATTATAGGTGTAGATCGAGTAAAAACATCCGATGATATTGGCATAAGTTTTACGATAAAAACTAAATAGAAAATAAGTCGAGACAATTAACAATAAATTCAGTTGTCATATTATTTTTTCCGATATCATGGGTCAGTATTTATTTAACAGTTCGCAATCTTCTACCTCTTTCCAATACAATAGCATCAATGAAATCCAATAAACGATCTGTTTATTATTTTAAAGTTAATGCAAATCGTTTTCTATATTCATTCAGTAACATAACATAACATCACGCCTTTTATCCCCGAAGGGGTATGCAGAGGTGCACATTATGCCACTGTACAATGTAACACCCACTTTCACTATTTATGTTATAAGTCCCATGAAATAGGTGGTTGGCCTATGCCATATACCGGGAACAATTCCAGACTCACAATACTGTTTTTTTAAAAACCCAGTAATACTTTGCCCGACCCGGAAATCGATCCCCTTGAACGACAGTCATTCAGTACTTCCTTTATTATTGAGAAATAAACATACAAACGTATGATAGGTCGAAGTGAATAATAAAAATCGTGTTTTGTTCTTTGATGTAGGTACAATTTCAGCGCATGCTTGCGTATTAGTGCGTGGATGGTTAGTTTTTCAATGTATTACTTATTAGAATCCCGCACGCCTATCAGTAGGTATGAAATTAACGTTTGTATTATATAATTCCAGGGTTAGCAGGTCGGAGTTGTACAGGGATAGCGGTAACTGCTGAGGGCATAGTGGCTGTCAACTGGCGGACGCGAACTCTTACTGAGGTAACAGGCAAATTTTTTATAAGATAGTTTTTGTCTGCAAAACCTTCAAACATAGTTATTAAGGCATCAAAGGTATTTTACAAGTAGTGTATCGTGTCTAAAACTATTGTTTCATGTGTTATCTCTCTCAAAAATATTTTTACTGAATGAGTTGCAAATATTTTTTAGTTCCATCCAGTCGGCGCCACTAGCGCTTTTAATTAATTAATTTATTTATTTATTTACACTTTAATGCACACAAAATAAGGTACATAAGGCGGACTTAATGCCAAATGACATTTTCTCCCAGTCAACCTTTGGGTTAAATGTAAGCTCAGCGAAAATGGGCCTGTGTAATATCAAAAAAAAAAAAACAAAATAAATAACTAATAGTTATAATAAATACTGTATAACATTTAATCTTGTAGGCAGCCAACATTCTTTACAAAACAAATTAGACTATAACCATACGATATCTGTCACTTGCAGGTGAGTGGTGAAGGGACGACGATCCGTACGATCAGGTCGGACAGACTGCAGGAGCCGGTGTGTGTGGCCGCGGACCTGGCGTCGCGCCGCCTCGCCGTCGCGGACAACGGGGCGCGCGCTGTCTTCCTCTTTGATAGCCATGGAAATATTGAGAGAGAGGTACTTATGTTTTGTGTTTATTTGTCTTGTGTAACGTTGTATTGGACTGTATTTAGATCCTAAATACACTTATAAGACGTAGAAAGTTGTCAATTTTGTTTTTGTTGTCGACAATAGGGTAGTGACAGTGTATGAAAATTAAAAATATAGTTAGTCCTTCAAACAAACAAACAAACAAATATATTTATTTCCATTTTGTTCACATATATGTACTTAATCAAAGCTTATTATTTAACTATTCTAGGTAGGTTACAATACAATGCCTGTATAGAATTAAATCTGTACCACAGGCTTTGTGGTCGCGTGCATTATACATTAGTTAGATAATGAAAAAATATTAGACACATTTTTTATTTTGTCGTATAAGAAAACAATACTTGATATAACGGAGTTAAGTTTAGGAGTGGGAGGTCGTTACGTCACGCTACCCTGTATAATGTAGTAAATCGTGACGTCACGCGATATTTCAAATCAATGTATCGTCGAAAGTATTTAGTTTTGTAAGAAAAGGAAATATACGTGTCTAATGTTTTAAAATAATCTACCAGAGGTACCTACATTAAAATAAAATTTAGGATACTACCCTATTAATAGGGTCTCAGAACATTAATAGGGTAGTATCCTAAATTTTATTTTAATGGACTTAAGTCCATCGAATTAAAAGTCTGACTTAACACTAAGCACTATAAAAATGAAATGAAATGAAACGATATTTATACTGTAAATAGGCAACAAAATAGCACATGGTATGGTAATATTTTAAAATAGAACTATACGAAGTCTGCACCTACTATTTATCAACTCTAAAAAAAAACCTCAGAAACAACCACTCAAACCTCTAAATGCATCAAAAACTAATACAAATCCTTCTACAATTGTTATTCATAGCATTATTATTGTTATAAAAAGTTTATTCGTTTACTTTTGATTTTTTTATAGCAGCAGCAGACGGATCACCCGATGGTAAGCAATCGAGGCCACCCATGGACACTCGAAACACCAAGGCGTTCCAAGTGCGTTACCGGCCTTTTGGGAATTGGGAATTTGAGGATTGTAGAGGATTCGGGGATTCGGGAGACGGGGACTAGGGAGGGGGTAATTGGGTCTCCGGTAACCTCACTCACACGACGAAACACAACGCAAGCGTTGTTTCACGTCGGTTTTCTGTAAGGCCGTGGTATCACTCCGGTCGAGCCGGCCCATTCGTGCCGAAGCATGGCTCTCCCACACTTAAAACTACTGTTTGTATGCCTCCCTATCCTATAAAACATCTTGTTTTGAAATAATATGTGTCTTTATGTTCCAGGTAGGCAATGGAGAGTTGGGTCTAGTTGGCGGGCTCGCGTTGTCTGAAGACTTGCTGATTATAGCGGATGTCGCCATCAGGGTGTACGATATTGAAGGGAATCTCAAGAATGTGTTCGCACCGGTGCCAAAAGGTATGATGTTGTTTCCTTCGCACTTTCTACTAACACAGATGAAAGTCAAATTTTAAATTTTTTTTCGTGCCCTTTTTAACTCGTCGAGTACCGGTTTTGTAGACACAATTATAGAACAATAGGTTGCGGTCACCGGTGACCGCTTGGTGTTTGACAGTTTAATTGATTAGCGTCATATATCTTTCACATATTACGATACGCGCTGCGTACGTTAATATTTCGCATAATTTATTTATTAGACTGTCTCGTTGGCCGAGTGGACGCAAGAGCGACTGCCGGACAAGGGGTCTCGGGTTCGATTCCTGAACCAGGCAAAGTTAATACTTTGCCCAGTAATCTGGGTTTTAAAAAAAATCTCAGTAATAGCACGATGGCAATAGGCTGATCCCTATTACATGAAACTCATTACATAAATAGTGAAAAGTGGGTGTTACATTGTACAGTGGCATTAAATGCCGTAATGTGCACATCTGCCTACCCGTTCGGGAAAAAAGGCGTGATGTTATATTATGTTATGTATTTATTATAATAATCACAATTATCTTATATTGCTGACAACATTAACTTCACCTTAACCTTCAAGCGGGCGCGCGTAGTCGAATCGACCGCGGTTAATACATTTTCGTTCGTATTTTTATTTTTAGTTGTCACATGCATTTCTAATTTCTAGTAGCCTGTCACTATCTTTTTAGGAGTAAAATAAAAACTATTTCGTTGCTTGAAGCGATCTCTACACTCCACAAATTACAATTATTTAGGCTCTGGCGCAGTCGTTGAAAAGACTACACGCGCCTGTCGTCGAATAGGTTACGCGCGACGCCCAACGCGACATACACATGTCAATATTATCTAATTCAGCTTGGAGTTTTGGTGTTTTAAAGCATTTTTTGTTTAAATAAGTCGTTTATGGTTATCGCAAAGTACAGTAATCGAGGAATTACAAAGAGAAGACGAAGAAGAGAGTGAATCAGAGCTTAGCAACCAAGGCTCTGAAACTTCTCATCACATAGTTTTAGAAGAACATCTATCTGATGTGATATCATCCTTGTCGGATTTAGATGAGAATAATTTGTAGCTTTCGGAAATAAATAGCTGTTTTACAGGACGCCTATGAAAAAGAAGCAATTATTAAGTCACCTAAAGTAACTCAAATATTCTTTGGATCAAAATAAAAATTAAGACCCGTTTACATATGTTAGGTTGGTTTATATACGTAGACCAAAAAATAAATAAAAAGTAAGGATAAAACTGTAAAAACTCATTAATTTTGATTTTATTTTCGTCTGAGTCAGTATTCTAGTAATTTTTCAGATTTTGCTACTTCGTTACTTTATCGCGTCCTGTAAAACAGCTATTTATTACCGAAAGCTACAAATTATTCTCATCTAAATCCGACAAGGATGATATCACATCAGATAGATGTTCTTCTAAAACTAAGTGATGAGAAGTTTCAGAGCCTTGGTTGCTAAGCTCTGATTCACTCTCTTCTTCGTCTTCTCTTTGTAATTCCTCGATTACTGTACTTTGCGATAACCATAAACGACTTATTTAACATTGTCCCCAGGTCGTGGTGGATACGGTGGTATAGCACTAGCGCCACCTAGTGAGGGAGGGACGCGACACGTAGTATGCGCGCGCGCAGTGCGGGGCCGGCCTGCATTATTAGTACTGGAACCAGGCGCTGGGAAGGTGCTGGCTCTGTCAGAGTTGTCCGATAAAAAGCCGCGCCGCGTGGCCGGACTTACGTTGTTGCCTAATCGACGGGTGCTACTCGCCGACCTAGCTGCCGACTGCTTGAGGTTGCATACTTACTGGTGAAACCTAGGCGAAGCCTTGTGGGTAAGTACTTCAATGATATAAATTATAGAATAGTCGCTATAGTCTTCATTCTTGTGAAACAATCTGAGATGTATAGTTATGCATGTATAGCATGTACGTCGGCCTCATCGTTCGTTTGATAAAATTGACGTGTAAAAGTGCTGCCTTGTAGCCTATTTGCAGAAATAAATTAACTTTTTTCACTATGCAGATATGTATTTTAATAACATTTTACTGAACACTTGTGTGGCTCGATTAAAAGTAATTGAAAGACCAACCCCAACTTTTAGAGACCCTGTCTCCAGAGATCAGCAGAGCAAGATCAATAAAATTTTCAATTTAAAATGTAATCTACATAAATTCTCACTTCCAGGTGACGCGTATAGAGACGGGAGCGAAGCAGGCGCTGGAGCGCGACGTAATCGAATTTCATGCTAGTCCAATATTATAACGGAGAATCGAACTGACGGCCATACACACGGACTGCGAGGGGAGATACTTGCACCAAAGTCTTTAGTCGGCCCGCGACGGCCACTGCGTTATCAATAACTATATTTTAGTACTTACAGTATTTATTTCGTATTAAGTTAATTATTTTCTAAAAACGTTTACTTTGTCGATTCTAGTTCGACGCTTATACGGAATTTGACAATATTATGACTGATTTTGATTTTTATGTGTAATATTTTCTCGTTTTACTTACTTTTCGCTGGACTGCGAACGTCAAATCGTGACTTTTTTATGATAATTATATTATTATTATTGATTAATAATATATTTGCACTATGCGCTGTAAGTGTAACTTGGTTGATCCACCGTGCAATCGGCAATGTTTTTGAATTAGTCTTTAAATTCTTGTCAGTGAAGTAATCACTTTATTTATTTGTATGCATCAAACTTGTTGGCGATTCTAAACTTCGCTTTAACTAGTCGTAAGACGAACGCATTTATTTTTAACTAACATTAGTTCGTGTTCTGTCTCTTGAGAAAAAGGAAAGATCTTTATGATCACATAATAAATGAATACAGACAATATTTATGATATAATAATAATATCTATTTAGGGGTATACCTGCCTATTCTAATTGTATGAAATAGTGAAAAAAAAAAAATTCAAAATTGATCAGTTTTCGCGGTACATATCCAGTAGCCTTGTTTGGTATGCTTAGTGATAGTGCGTTGTTATTAGTTGGACAGTGTCGGTTTGTTTGTTTGTCCAAACAATATCGACTGTCCTTTAGCCTACACTCTAAGTCTGCGACCAGATATTTACTAAACGACTGAATGTTTAACAATTTACTTATATGCAAAAAGTGTATGTTGACTGCACACATCTGAAGCCTTACGGGTTTGTTTTATGTTTAAAGTAATCGTAACGAGTACGCATTCGGCACTCTGATTGGCCGGCACCAATGAACATAGCTGGGCACCGTTAATCAAATAGTTAAGTTCGTTAATCGTTAATCCGCTACAAAAAAAAGTTAGCTTCGTTAAAGCGTTACATTTCGGAAGAATTGACGCAAGTTAACGTTAATCCGTTAATATGAGTTAAATTACATTTTTATTTCGTTGCGTTTGTGAACTTAAAAGACTAAAAAAAATTCTTCGCAGATTTCTTACTCGCACGCACCGGCCAGATATATCTAGTTTTGTTTATGTTTCAAGCGCTGCCAGGCGCCGCCCGGCACTTGTCATTTCATACTTGTCTTTACCTGTTTTTCGCGCCGCGCCGCGATGCCGTGCGCTAAATAGTAAGCATTGGATTAACGATTAACAGACTTCTGCATTTTAACGGAAGTTAACGTAAAAGTTAACTTAAAAGTTAATCCGTTAATCAAAATGTTAACTTCGTTAATTAACGATTAACGGATTAACGAGTTAATGCCCAGCTATGCCAATGAAGCAACCAATCAGAGCACCGAATGCGTACTCGTTACGATTACTTTAAACGTTTTCAAACTCGTACTAAGGCCTCTGTCAACCCAAACGTCGACGATATCTGGCCGCTTCACCCAGTTAAATACCATAGTATGCGCTATATATAAAGTTAATATGAAATAGCTACATATGTGATCATTTACAAATAAGAATCTTATTGTTAAAAACTTCGCATTATTATAATATTATAACTGTTTTACTATAAAAATAATTATAAATGTCACACATGCCCAATGATACTTAGCAGTAGTGAAAATAACGATATTTTACTTAATTATTTTTCTAGTAAAACGGCTCAGTTTAAAATTACAAATCATATCTGCCTATTAAAGATAAGTTAGTTGTTTTCTCTTCTAAATTCTTGAGGTGTCGATGCCATATTTTGATTATTAATTAATATACTTGCACTATTTAAAAGTTGACGTGTGCTATTTACAAAATTATTTGCGAACAAAATAAATAGCATTGGTCCTTATTCCCTTAAACGTTACGTTTTTATTGTGGAAGTTCAATAATTATTGATTGCTCAATCAAATATGAATGTATGAGTAATAACATCATATCATGCGATCAAAGCAAATTCTCCCATAAAACTACAAATCAATCAGTAAGAGAGACCGGCGTTGGCTGTTTCACGAGTCAGTTGTTATAGAGGTCATAATAGACAAATTATAGAACGAAATATGAACATTAATCAGTGTAAAAAAACAATCAATCTCCTTTTTTTTGAAGTCGGTAAAAATTATCGACCGTCAGGAGAGGAGTGAGTACAAAAATATCGGTTACTCACGTTAACTGAGACAAGCTCTACTAGTTTCGAGTTACAACGGGACTCTTATTCGTGATGTTCGAATGTTTCGACAATTTAACCGATTGATACAAATTACTGACTACTAACTACAGACATTTAATGATTAGGTACCTAAACTGTTCATAATTACAATTTTATTCCGAAAAAATTTTCAAGTCCTGGGTTAAATGACAGACCACGGCGGTAAAATAACCAACCTCGGTCTCCTCTACTACAAAATTCAATATATCCAGTTTAAACTAGTTTTAAGTAAAACTCTCTTTGCTATAGTTTAGTAACGTTGACTGTTTATTATTGAAGCTATCGTTATTTCCTAACAAATAATTAAAATCTAAAAATATATCTCATTTAGTTGCGTCTTTATTATGTACAGTATAGCTTACGATATTCAGAGTTTAAATGAGTGAACATAAACTTAATCAGAATGAATGGAAACTGTTGATTTCAAATTAAAATTTCCCAATAGGGAATATGTACGTGTTTTAAATTCTTTAAGTATTACTATTGGGTGATACTCTGTTAATATATTGATTATTGTAATAAAACCTTCATTTCGCACCAAGGTTCCTAATGGTACACACGGCTACACATCGAGCTTTACATAACCAGTATAAACAGAACGTTAAATGTGCGGAAAGATGATGCGACGCGACACCAGGATAAACTGGTTTTGTATAGGTTGATGTGTGGCCGTGTGTACATGAATGATCTCGTCGTCATAAATAAAAATGTCTATTTAAAATGGTTATTACGAAACTTGTCCCATGCGACTAGGAATTATGTCATAACACAATAATTTCATATAACAAATCGCTATTTAAAGGCATTATCATAACAAACAAATTACTATGTACTACTAAAGCCTGTTATGTATTTCAACTTGCACAATACATACATATTCTCTATTGTTTTAACATGGCTGCGACGTCAACGCAATTTCAACAACGGAATCTCATTAATGTATTTTTTTTTTCATGTGAAATGTAATCAAGGCCTCATATAATATATTAACATAACAATAAGTATAAAAATAATATATTTAATTTATTATTTGAACTGCTTTACTGTTAATACAAAATGTTGTAACTCGCAAATAATTTCGAAATTATTCATTATTTAACAACAATATATGGAAATTTCTAGTTTTTTTTAATGTGAGGTTTTTGGTTATTGACTTAATGTGTAGTTTAAGTTACTGTAAAGTGATGGGTTTACCGTTAACGGTATTGTGGGTTTAGATCTAGTCTGATGTCTATTTACAAAGGTTTTTGTAAATTATACAATGCTAGTTACACATATGTCCATACCAGTGATTGTAAAAGTTTGTATGTAACCGAAGGGTTTCGAAAAACGTTAATGCAATGAACTCTAACAGCCGTATCGCTGCCATTTTCCGACGTGTTATTGCTAAACACGCCATAGTTAAGAAAATTAGCATTGTGCGTGAAGCAAACGTGATTGGCATGTATAATTTAGAAATGTGCGTAACTCTTAAGATGGACTGACATGCCGTTACAAGTACACTTTGCAAATGTATTATTTACATAATAATTTGGGTGGATTTCAATAGTCGGACTATAAAAATCTCGCGTTGAATCTGTATTGTTGACAAATTGAGTATTAATTTTTCGTTTATTGTCATTTTGTCTAGACACGTTTCGCTATAATCGATGTGGCCAATATAATTCAGTACAATATTCAAGAACAAGAGTTGCGTTTGATACAACTCGTTTTAATGACTTCTAGTTCGTTTAAATTGCCGTAATTAAAAGGAAGTGCACCCAGGTTATTGTTCTCAATCATATAAAGTTACTGAGCTGAGCTAGTGAGCTCTATTTAAACATGTCATGTTCTCATTAAGAACTCGAATATCATGTCTTACACCGCTCATTTCTAACGCAACTTCATACATAATATTATATTCAGTTATTCGTTTCTCTACTTGAATAACTTAGGTATTAATAAAGTTCCTTTAAGATCGTTTAGTTGCATAACATTAATGACTTTTGATTGTATTCAGTGTTAGTCTTTACATAATCGTTGTTTACTTTCATGCACCATATTATAGCGTCTATTATTCAACCCTGTTTGTTCCCTTACCAGCTGTTTACACATGTACTGTTATTGCGGTTACCAGACTAATACAGGGTGTTAACGGAACGCTTCAAAAGACTCGTATAAATATACTATATATGAAATTGTAATAACATAAAAATCTATGTTTTTACAATTTTAATCGTTTTTGTTTTCTTGTTATTTATGCAATATCAGCCTTGAGCAGTTGAATACAACTATTATGACATAAAAGAAACATTTAATTCCTTACTATTTTGAAAATAAATATAGTATTTCGCAATCCGACTTCGTTTTTGGAAGCGTTCTGCTGACATCTGTATGAGATATATCTCATTGAATAGTTAAAGATTCTAAACTTAGATATATGTATTTGTTTGTATGTTGTATTACGTTGTGTGCTTGTGTTGTCGTGAACAATTTCAGCTTTAAAACATAAACCGAATTACGTTTAGTGTTGTCTTATGTACTGTTACATACATTCAAACATTCTGTCGTCACAATTCGCTTACACTGCCTTTATTTCGTTAAAGCATTTAAAATAAGATTACGCCTATAAATCTCTATCTGCTTTCCCTCCCTGTAGATATTCACAAACAGTACACTATATATTTATAAAATAGTTATTTGAATAAACAGTTCAACAGCAGATTGGTACAAAATAATAATAATAGGTACGATATATAATTTATTCTTTGTATTAGATGTAAACTGTTCAAAGTGAATCATAGTGAAAGTGTTCTATTATTTTAAAAGATGAATAAATAAAACTATTTTGGCACCAGATTGACTATTTTCAGACAAAATTGATGGAATTGATAGATAACTCATTTATTAATTGTATGTACGCCTAAAAGCTAAAGTGTATTTATTTATCAGAAGCTGTGAATCTGTACTTAAATTATATAATCACAGAGTATCTCAGTGTCATGTCGATAACGTCACTTTTGTGCAAAACACAATAAAGTTAAATTAAAAACAATACCTTGTTTATTTTATTTATGAACCCTAATAGGTTTTTACCTTATTATTATTTATTTTCAGCCATGGTCGTCCCTCTTTAGGGCAACGGCCTGGACATCTATGACAGGAGATTGGCAGCAAAAACTTAACGTAGAGGGCTGTGGCAGGACGGTAGAGAGGCCTTTACCCTGCAGGTTTTTACCTTATCTGGCTTCGATCAACAATAGCAACTAGATATCGGGTCGGCGCAAGAAAATCGTCTCGACAAATAAGAGCTCACTTGAGAAGTGAGCTCTTATTTTGTTTAGTATGCTCCAAACATGGCCAACGTACTCACGTCTCACGATGCTGCGTGCGTAATTGCAAGTTGCAAAAATAATAACCGAAAAAGCAGTATAACGGCCGGAGTGTCTTACTTACGATATCTACATAAAGTATAAGTTGTATTTTAAGCTTTTAAACTAGTAAATAATATCAAATTATACAAAATTACCAATTATAAACCCTCACCACCAATGTTTGTGCATATGTTGGCGAACCCTTGGCCAAGCATCACCAACACGTGCACAAACTTTTGTTTAACCGGAACAGTGGATGCATGGAGTCGATTTGTATTGTAAAATAAAATTGTATTGTAACCTGATTGGAAAATAGTACCTAACCTATGGAGTTTTTTGCTCGTTCTTCTCCATAGGAATCTACACCTTGGAATGAGCAAATAGTTTACTTTTAAATTTATATTATTGACGTTCAAAAGTGCCTTCCTGGTCTAACTGAAATAAATGATTTTGACTCAGACATAAACTTTTAATAATAAAGTATATAAACATAATATCATACACAAAAACGTACCGCTAATAAAAATAATTGATGTATACTAAGATCACGAAATCTTAATTTTCATATTATAAAATTATTTAAGTGTTCAACGCGACTCCATACATACCTCCTGTAGCGAAATTCGAAATTCAAAAAAGCAAAACGTAACAAAACAAAACGATATAACATCGCAAGGTAATAACAGAAAAATTTTCTTTATTTGTTATATCTTAAGGTTGAATTCATACTAGATATTGTGTAACTTATGTCTTTTAATTTCTACATGACAGGAGTAAGAAAATGCTTTTCTCGTCTTATATGACGAATGGTCGTAAGTATTAGATAATATTTTGACGATTTATGACTTTATTATTAGGTGCCATGGTTGTTATTAGGTTGAACTTAAAACTATTTTAAAACATTTTCCTCCGTTTGTTATAATTTTACTATTATTATTCACACGGACAGAACTGGAGCTTGATTTTGTACGTAACCCTTTATCTAGTTGCTATTGTTGATCGAAGTTATCTGGTCAAAACTACTTACAATAAATGAATACATATTCTTCACTAACCAGTTTCCCTACAAAAATACGTGATATTATTATTTTAGGGTATTCCCTTATTCTCGAAATTATACCAATTTCGGTAATTATGAGGTTCACGGGGTTAAACCAAGTGAACTTCATGGGGTACTTGTTCGGTAGTCTCTTCTTGCAAAAACTTCTCAACAATGCGACAGGTGTTCAGAATTGCGGCTTTCTGCATTGTTGTGTATGTGTTTTTATAAAGGTCTAGGAGTTGGCAGTAGGCTATTTCAGTTTTAATGTTTTTTATTGTTTCGTCAGATAAAAGTTTATTTCTTATTATTACTCTTCGTTGGTCAGCAATTCTTTGTGCAGAAACATTTATTCTGGGTATTTCGAGGAAAAACGGTCATGAAGTTCTGTCTGTTTCTAGTCTGGTAACATAATAATATGTGCGCATGATAAATAGGTTTATTTTTTTCGCTCCATTTCATGCGCACTCTGGGTTTACCAGCTTTGGTGGTCGCAGGTTGAGTGGCAAGTGCCTGCGAAACATCCTCAACAGGGGTGGTTGCTACTACTATTGCTATCTGAAAAATCGGCTGTAGTCCTTGAGGACATTCCCCTACCCCCCGCATCCCCGACTCCCGCCCAGCCGTCCAGCCGGGAGTCACTGGCAAGCATGTCATGCCTGACACCAGCTACAGACGTGTCCCGACTATCCTCGGGCAGCGGCCCTAGACGTAATCTTCTATTTCTAGTCTCCATATTCAATTGATAGGTTACCTTTATCTTGTTAGCCATATAAGTTTCAATTGTATACGTGTCCGCCCCCCACGTGGTTAGATGTTCAACCAGGAATAAGGTAGGATTTTAGGGGCTTGTATATTATAATTATTATATTATTCTTTGATGGTGACCGAGTTCCAATGAATAAAAATTCCGCTACCACTAGAGATTCAAAAGCCAAGGGTCTCGTCTCTCTCCTAATCTACAAGCATCAAAATGTTTTATACCTACATAATTATTTCCTCATTTTGATTTATCGTCATTTTATCTGTACCTAAAATCTATCACAGATAAAAACGAACCTTCAGTTTATAGTAATTAAAGAGGAATTAAATTCAAATTAATTACAATATAACAATAATGGGTCATTTAATCAATCATTTAATGACCATTTTGATGCTTGATATAACTTATTAAAGACAGCTGAAAGGAAATAAAACCATCAATTAAAAACATATAATTTTATTGAAAAATAAA